CTCCTCCTCCTCCTCCTCCTCCTCCTCCTCCTCCTCCTCCTTCTTCTTCTTCTTCTTCTTCTTCTCCACCACCACCATCTCTTCCCCTCCGTCATCATCATCATCCCCTCCTCCGCCTCCGGCGCCTCCTGGCTACTCATTCCAACGTGCAACCGGTTGTTGTGGCTTCAGAGTTGGGGGACACCTCCTTGAACCCCCGTCTCCGCCTGCATGCTTTTCCCTCCAGGTTCCGGTCCCTCCCCTCTGGTGATGGAGACCCCAACCGCAGTCTATGAATACGTGTCCGATCGGCTGGACTGGTGGCACGCCAACCTCTACTGCCGCCAGCGTTTCGCTCAGTTGCCCTCGGAGAGCTGGGAGGATGAGCTGCCCCCTTCGGGGCAAAACCTCTCCCGACAGCTCCAAAGCGCCGTCTGGTTAGAGGACGAGGAACTCCTGCCGCGGAAGCCGAAGCTGAGGCGTGAGTAGAACAGCTCCACCCACCTTTGGGGTGGCCGGGGGTGACTGGGAGAAGCCTGGAGATGGACCTAGGTGAGATGGGCGTGGCAGAGGGAGGGAGAGGACGGTAAGTCAATCAAGGCGGTTGTTCTGGAAGGGATCCGGCCTTCTTGGAGTCAGAGCTGATCATTGATCAAGCTGGTTGAAGAGGCCTTACGGGTTTCTGAGCCGAAGTATCTCCTCTGCCTTCTCATCTATCTTTTCCTCCTCCTCCTTTCCTTCTCCTTCTCATCTTTTTCTATCTTTTCCTCCTCCTTCTTCTCTCCTTCTCCTCCTTCTCTATCTTTCCTCCTCTTTTTCCTCCTTCTCTTCTTCTCCTTCACTTTCTCCTCCTCCTCCTCCTCCATTTAATCTCTCTCCCTTTCCACTACCTTTTCTTCTCCTTCCCACCATTCCTCCTCTTCTTCCTCTTCTTCTTCCTCCTATTTTTTCCTCCTCCTCCTCCTCTTTCCTCCTCCTCCTTTCCCTCTTCTCATCCTTCTCATCTACCTTTTCCTCCTTTTCTTCTTCTCCTTCATTTTCTCCTCCTCCTCCTTTCCTTCTTCTCATCCTTCTCATCTACCTTTTCCTCCTTCTCTCCTTCTCTTCTTCTCCTTCATTTTCTCCTCCTCCTCCTCCTCCATCTATCTTATCTCTCTCCCTTTCCACTCCCTTTTCTTCTCCCTCCCACCATTCTTCCTTCTTCTTCTTCTTCTTCTTCTTCCTCTTTTTTCCTCCTCCTCCTCCTTCTTTCCTTCTTCTCATCCTTCTCATCTACCTTTTCCTCTTTCTCTCCTTCTCTTCTCCTTCATTTTCTCCTCCTCCTCCTCCTCCTCCTCCATCTATCTTCTCTCTCTCCCTTTCCACTACCTTTTCTTCTCCTTCCCACCATTCCTCCTCCTCCTCTTCCTCCTGTCTCTTTAATATATATCCTTCTGGGGAACCTCCTTCCCCCAAAAGCGCTCCCAACCTTCCCTTTTTGCACCCATTCTTTCCAGGCGCCCACTCGCCTTCCATCCTGATATTCGGGAACAAAACAGACACCAAGTTTGTGAAGGTCCTGGCTGACTTCCCAGCAATGGCCGCCATCAGCGCTTGTGCCCACGTTCAGTGGGACCCCACGGCCACTGAGGTCTCCACCGTCTTCTCCTACGCGGTGCCCGCCTTCACCAACGAATTCCAGCTGCGTGGCATCGTCGACAAGGACCAGTTCGTCAAGCTTGCGGTCATCCTTCACGGCCACCACTCCCCTTACCTGCCCGTCTTCCGCACCGACCCACACTGGCACCACGTCTGCATCACCTGGAAGCAACCCAATGGCACTTGGGTCCTCTACGCCGACGGGAAGAAGAAGGCCTCGGCTTCTGGGCTGGCAGCTTCTCGAGCCATCGATGGCCACGGGACGTTCATCATCGGTCAAGACCAGGATTCCCTGGGGGGCGCTTTCAAGGAGAAAGAATCCTTCAGTGGGAATCTCACTGACCTACAAGTTTGGGGGAGGTTCCTCAGCCAGGAGCAGGTGGAGAAAGTCCGCTCCTGCGTGCCCATCCGGGAAAGCCTCATCTTTGACTGGAGGCACGA